CCCATGGGTTGTAACAGGGACGGCAACAGGGCAACTTTTTGGAGCTGTACACTATAGTGTATTACCTCAAATACGTAGAGCACTGTTAGCTTCAAATAGATCATTGTGAGTTGTTGATACATGAGGATATTGATACAGAAAGATACAGTGTTAAAGAGTATACTGTAGAATGTGTAGGAGGTAGTTTAAGGATTATATTGTGTGATGCACTGAAGAAGGTACAATAGTCAAGGTTACTATGGATTGTTTTATTGTGGAAGGTTATACTACTAATGGCTATACTGGTGACAGTTAACACGTTCCGTGCCACGTGTACCACCGGTGGTACACGGTAAACTTGATCGTCAGGCCACGTGTACCACCGGTGGTACACGCAGTCATATTTATTCAATGTGCTGAAAACATATATTTTATTACAAATATAATTCTGTAAACTATATTTCTACCTAAAAAATGAAGCATTATACAAGATGCAGTATAGAACAAAACACATAAGTTTATTTAATTGTTATATATACAATAATTAATAATTACATTTAATGGTGCATTTTGTTGAAGCAAGGGAGGCATAAAGACGGCTTTTTCGGGCAATCGCTGCAAAACGTTATTACTCTTATAGTTTTTTGTCTTGCTACTTCAGTACCGAATTTTTTTACATTTTTTTTATAGCAAGAAATGAAAATAAAATAATAAAAGAAAAATAATAGTAATAATGAAGTAAATAATAGAAACTTGTTTTCCAACAGAAACAAATGAAAAACAAAAAATGTTATCTCCGTATATTTACCTACTCCTTCTTTTATTAAATAATTTATTTTATTTCTCTCGTTTTTTATTCAACAAATTCGAGTGCAGCAGATTTTTTACTAACCGAAAAGTTTCGAACTGACTGACTTTTGCACTCGAACTGATCGCAGCGCCACGTGTACCACCGGTGGTACACGATGTGATAACTGCTCTAAACAAGAGAACTACTTATGTATTGATGATATAATGAAATATTGTGTGATAATATATCGATCTTTAGTCAAAATATCAAATGGCCTGAACGACAAGTCAGGCAAAAATGGCTTGGCACGGAACGTGTTAACGTAATATGTAGGTATACAATGCGTGAGGCCTTAAAACATTGGTGTTAATAAGTGTTTGACGTGTGTGGCCATAATACAATGATCTGAAAGTGAGGCCGTAAACCTATGCCGCATAACTTCAAAAGGCGAGGCCATAACTTCTAGCATGTAAGATCATGAGACCACAATTCGTACGCATATAAAGCGTGAAGCAATCCACAAAACACATGCGAGACCGCGACAATTTACCGCGTAGAAATTGTTGGTTGTCAAGGTTGCCGAGATTAATATTAAATGTTCCCGCAAACAAGTTAGTTAACATAATACTATGTATAATACTTCACGTAACGATAACGCTTTAAACACGTAATAAAACGTCGCTATCAGCACTTTGCCAGAATCTAAATAGTGTCAAGCCTCATTCCCTCACAAAAGGAGAGTATATATAGAACGGAGATTACGTGTAGAAGAATGAAATATACGCATATACGTTCGCGTGTTTACTTTGTACAATAAGGTTGGCGAAAGAATACGGCAAAGTCTTTTCAAATGACCCGATAAGATCTCCGGTAGCCGGTAATGCTAGAATCAACTAATCAGCACAAGTCGTGGCGCCTACGAGATCGTTGGTAACACGCTGCTTATCGAGCCGGTGGGGCAACATTCCTCGCTTCGGAATCAGAATGACCGTACCCGTTCCCCCATGGGTTGTAACAGGGACGGCAACAGGGCAACTTTTTGGAGCTGTACACTATAGTGTATTACCTCAAATACGTAGAGCACTGTTAGCTTCAAATAGATCATTGTGAGTTGTTGATACATGAGGATATTGATACAGAAAGATACAGTGTTAAAGAGTATACTGTAGAATGTGTAGGAGGTAGTTTAAGGATTATATTGTGTGATGCACTGAAGAAGGTACAATAGTCAAGGTTACTATGGATTGTTTTATTGTGGAAGGTTATACTACTAATGGCTATACTGGTGACAGTTAACACGTTCCGTGCCACGTGTACCACCGGTGGTACACGATGTGATAACTGCTCTAAACAAGAGAACTACTTATGTATTGATGATATAATGAAATATTGTGTGATAATATATCGATCTTTAGTCAAAATATCAAATGGCCTGAACGACAAGTCAGGCAAAAATGGCTTGGCACGGAACGTGTTAACGTGTGGGAGGTACTTTGAGGATTATTGTATTGTGTGATGTTTCGCTAAAGAAGGATACATTTTTCAAGGTTATGGAAGGATACTGTGGATGGTTACACTATGGAAACTTAAAGTAGGGGGTATGAGGATTATTATGTTGTGTGATGTTGCACTAGAAAGAGGTACATTATGCGATTATAGTGTGGAGGATTGCAGTATAAAAGGTTACACTGTATGATATTACACTATAGAAGGTTACACTGTGTAAGGTTACGCTATAGAAGGTTATACTGTATAAGATTACACTGTATACAGCTACATCACGGAAGGTTACACTTTGTCAAATTATACTATTAGATTGTGGAGGATCACACTATGTTAGATTGTAATATAGAAGACTACACTATGCAAGATTATTTTGTGGATGATTATCCCATGCTACACTGTATTGTAGAAGTGTACACTATCTAGAGTAACAGTGTGGAAGATTACACTGTCTAAAGTTACACTGTAGAAGGCTACACTATACACACTTATACTTTAGAACATTACACTACAATTATACTGTGCAAGATTATAAGTGATATTATAAGTGAAGCTACACTATGAAAATTAATCTATGGAAGACCGTTGAAGTTATTAAGGATTACAATATTTTAGGTTACATTATAAAATATATCTTATACATTTAGTGTTTGTACATTATAGTGTAGCATATAGAGTGCTACGAAGCACTAGTGTAGCACATAAAGTGCTTTATTAGAAGCAAGAATTATAATACCTAATGGAATATTATACATAGTTACACTATAGTACACTGAAATACATTAAATTGAATTAAACTATATTATGAAAATTACACTTTGAAAAATTAATATGCTAATTGTTATAGTATTAAAAATTTATTTACTCAAGATTACACTATTGAACAGTGCATTACACAAAATTACACTACTAATGTACACTGAAACTCAATTAAACTGTATCACAAAATATACTGTATAAAAGATTAAATTATTAAATTTGATAATACTTTAAAAGTTTACTCATTCAAAATACTGTTGATACATTATTGATCATTACACTATGACATATTACTACACTATGAAAGTAACTATGAAACGTTAGAATTGTAAAAGATACTTGGTATAATATTACACTGTAATATATTCTGTGATACGTTTTACTACTACAGATCAAATTACACTATGGAGTTTACTTTATAAAAAACTCAACTATAAAAAGTGTTTTATGTAATGTAATTGGATACCTACACTATGTAATGTTACACTATAAGATTGAAATACACCAGGTGCTCTGCAGAACATTACGCTATAAACAAATGAATAAAAGTGTTTATTTTGAATACATATATAACATTAACATCAAAATTACCAAACCAGTCAATTTATATTCAAAAATTTGTTTATGTGCTTTTTTGTAATCACTGCTGACTTTTATCGAGATAAATTAATATATTCAGTTATGTTTTATCGTTTATTTCCCTACTTCATTTTTAATATTAATTTATGCGTTATACGTTCATACATTTAATATTGACATATGACTTAATCACATATGTTTTTAATTATTCATACAAATATATAATTTTTAAATAATATATATAATTGATATTATTATTTATTGATATTTTAATTGTTCATACGAATACATAGTTTTTAAATAATGCGTAAAATTGTTATTATTATTTATTGATATTTTAATTGTTCATACGAATACATAGTTTTTAAATAATACATAAAATTGGTATTATTATTTATTGATATTTTAATTGTTCATACGAAACATAATTTTTAAATAATACATAAAATTGGTATTATTATTTATTGGTATTTTAATTGTTCATACGAAACATAATTTTTAAATAATACATAAAATTGTTATTATTATTTATTGATACCTTATATGTTCATACAAATACATAGTTTTTAAATAATACATACAATTGATATTATTATTTTTTGATATTTTAATTGTTCATACGAATACAAAGTTTTTAAATAATACATAAAATTGTTATTATTATTTATTGATATTTTAATTGTTCATACGAATACATAGTTTTTAAATAATACATAAAATTGATATTATCATTTATTGATATTTTAATTGTTCATACGAGTGGTTCATAATTTTGTATATAATTCACAAAATTAAATTTGTATTGTATGTTATATAATTAATATCACGTTATATAAAAATATTTCTCTTATATAACATGTTCCTGTAAATATTGTCTGAGAGACATTAAGGTGATGATTGTCCGCGTTATATTGTTCCAAAAGATTACCCTGATGTCCGTCCCTGACCCGCAGTGAGGCTCGAGGAGGATCCTCCGTGAAGGTGCAGTGGCTCGTCACGGTTGCACTGGCATGTGCGTGTGAACGTGAAAGGTGAAACAGGAAACCATTTCGTTCACCTGTTCCACTGGTCGCCGAAAATCGAACCTCACGGAACCTTGATCCGACCTTCTCCTCCTCCGCATAACATGGAACATAAACGCCCCCGGCTCTGCTGACCCGACAACATTCCTCTGCCCACGTTTCTTCTTCCCCTATTTCGTTCTCTCTTTCCCTTCGTTTTTACACCGTTTCGTTCCTTTTCGTTTGTTTATCGACTTCTGTCCCGCGCACACGCGTATCAACGTTTCTGCGACCACGGCAAAAATAACGTAACAAAAGCGTTACAAAATTAGATTTACATACGTCGACTGTCTACCGATTGTCTTATTATTTTGAATGTTTGTTCGCAGGTGAAAGGAATTTCTCGACTTAGGCTAGGATGTCACATCACAGCGACGATAACATGCTGATAGCAACCTCGGACTCCTTCTGGGAGCCGGGTAATTACAAACGGACGACCAAAAGGATCGAGGATGGCCACAAACTGTGCGATAGTCTGATAGCTCTGGTACAGGAGAGAGCGGAGATCGAGAAGAGTTACGCGAAAGCGTTGAAAAATTGGTCGAAGAATTGGAACGATAAGATTGAGAAGGGACCTGAATATGGCACCACCGAGGCAGCATGGAAAGGAGTACTCGTTGAATCCGACAGGTTGTGCGATCTTCACCTCAGGGTCAAAGAGAACCTCTGCAACGAAATCATTCTTCACGTGAAATCGTGGCAGAAGGACACCTATCACAAGGTACATCATTAACAATAACTTTCTTCTGACACCGATTCATGACCTAAAAGTTTCTCGAAACGATACTTATGATGCATTAATTTAAAGCAGCATGTTTAATAAACAAGACTGTATAATCATTTTGTTGAAATTCTTTAGATAAAATGATTATCTGTTGGCCTCAAAGGGAAATGGACCCATTATTGTGTATTGCGGTTAGTTAATATTTGATGTGGTTTAATGACGTAAAAATATTTCAAAATGCCACTCATTGAGTATTAATGTAAAGCTTGAAGCGTAATAAAAGAGACTACATAATCATTTTGTTGAGATTCTTTCGATAAAATGATTAGCTATTGGCCTCAAAGAGAAATAGACCTACTATTGCGTATTTCGGTTAGTTAATATTTGATATGGTTTAAAGACGTAAAAATATTTCAAAATGCCACTCATTGAGTATTAATGTAAAACGTGAAGCTTAATAAAAAGGACTACGTAATTGTTTTGTTAAAATTTTGAGTGTATAAGGATTGGTTGTTGGCCTCATGAAGCTGAATATCAGTTATAATATTCTGCTAAGTGCGCTAGTGTTTGCAAAATAACACTTATGAGGTATCATATTCTAGCTTAAAGTCTTAGAAACTTAATGTTCCTAATACAAAATGGCTGATGCTTATTTGTATCAAACAGTGACTCATCTTTGGTAACGTATAGAGTCTAACAAGATTTGATAACGTAAAATTATTTCGAAATACCACGTATGGTACATCAATTTAAAGCTTAATACATAACAGAAATAACTATTTAAGTCTATTTCTAATTTTAATGTAAAATGACAGATTTATAACAAATAGGGTAAACAGAGATGATTTTCGAAATAAAAAGTATCGGACAGATTCATGACAGAAAACCATTTTAAAATAGCCCTTGTGATATGTCATTGTAAAGCCCAAAGCTTAACGAAAAAGCCTATGTAAAAGTTTTGCTAAAATTTTGTATGCAAAATGGCTAATCATCGGCCTCAAGGAGGAATGGATTAATTATTGTAAACAGTAATATGTGCTCTATTAAATTGTAGTGTTTGAAATGATTTAATACCACTGAATGATACTTATAGCATATCAAATTAAAGCTTGAAATTTCAAAAAAGGAACTGCGTGAACATTTAATTGATATTCTCAATATAAAATGGCTGTTGCGTCATTGAATCGAGTAATAGTTTAGAATTTTCAATGGCGTATTAAAAAAATTTTTCATATCTCGTATCATAGTTATTTTCAGTTAGCCTTAAGATTTAAATTGATAAATGCTATATAATGATGCGTGTCATCAAAACATCAAGCCTCATCAATATTCTTTGAGAACTGAGGTTTTTATGTAAAGAACGACTCAGAGCGTTGAATATGTATTGATCTGAAACGCATCTTTGTTTCAGTCGATGATGACCCTAAAGGAACGCAAAGAAATGGAGGACGCGTTCAAGAAAGCGCAGAAACCATGGGCGAAGCTTTTGCAAAAAGTCGAGAAAGCAAAATCAGAGTATCACAACAGCTGTAAAACAGAACGAACCGCGGCGAACGTGGAAAGGAATGCTTCTGCTGATACTTCACTTTCGCCAGACCAGGTAAAAAAAAACGAATGTCCGCGATTAACATTGATCATAGCTATTGACGGGTTACGTCATTCTCGTTCATACGTTTATCGACGATTAGCGCAATCGTCGCGTTACGTATTCGAGTCACATTGTATTTGTCATTTGTTCGTGTTCGCTTTTAAAAGCTGTGCACCGAAGGGACATCGTTTCGAATCGCAGATCCAATTGAAAGTGAATCTGCTCGTTTAAAATTGATTCGACGCGCTGCTCAAAATAATTAGAGATCTTCTTTCAATCGAATGCGTCGAAAGAAAATGTTTAAATCGTCAAGATATACTATTATTTAATGCCTCATAATGCCTCATATTCTAATGAAAATTGTTAGGTGGCACAGTATAACAAAATCCTACTAAACTGCCTATATAGAATTATTTCATTATTAGTTTTAGTTTACAGCTTATTATATTGCCACGCTATATATTGCCAATGAGAAAGTTTTAAAAGCATGTCTGCTCTCATTCACGATAAACTAAGCTGAACATTTATGAAGATTGTCGATAATTAAGTCCTCGTTCAAACTCAAGTTTGACAACTACAAAATTAGGTTATTGATTGTGAGGCTTCATCGATTTATGATTTTGAGGTATTAAAACTCCAAGACTTTAAAACATTAAAATTATACAATCTCGATGCGTTGGAAATCTTAAAATTTTTTAAACTTGAGGCCTTAAAACTATATGAGGCTTAGAACCATTCTTAGGACTTTGGAACTAAGAACTTTAAGGCTTTAAAAGCTCTAATATTTTTTAACTGTGATGCCTAGTAAAACTTGCAATATCGAAACCTTGAAGCCCAAAGAAACTTGGAATCATAAAACCTTGAGGTCATGAAAGCTTGGAATCTTGAAATCTTAAGACCTAGGAAATTTTGGAATCTTAAGGCTTTGAAAACTTTCGAATTTTGTAACATTGGAATTTTGCAACTTTGAGGCCTCGGAAATCTTAGCCTTAAAACCGTGATACCTTAGAACTTCGAACTTAGGAACCTTGAAGCCTTGAAAACCTCAGATTTTTTAGCTGTGAGGTTCAGAAAACCTTGCAATTTTGAAGCCTTGAGGCGTAAAGAAACTTGGAATATTGAAATCTTAAGGCTTAAAAAGGCTTGAAATCTTGAAACCTTGAGACCTAAAAAAATTTGGAATTTTACAATATTGACGCCCTGAAAACTTTTAATACAGAAACATTAAAACTTTGGAACTTTCAGTGTTTGGAAACCTTAGAACCTTGAAGCCATGAGGCCTTGAAAACCCTGAGTCCTTGAAGTCATGAAGCTTTGAAAACCTTGAATACTTGAAGCCATGAAGCCTTGAAAACCTTGAATCCTTAAAGCCATGAGGCCTTGAAACCCTTGCGTCCTTGAAGCCATGAGGCCTTGAAAACGTTGAATCCTTGTGATCCTTGCAACTTAAAAACTTCGAAACCTTTTTGTCTTAGAACTTTGAAATCCTATAACCTTTGAAACGTTAATAAACTTGCTCTGTTTTATTCTTCGTTCATGGCAATATAACGAAAATCTACTATATTTTATTACACGTAATTTCACGAGTTTCTTATTGCATTTCTCGAACTTTTCTCAATTGTTTTGAGCAATGCGTACAATTATTGTACCGTAACGAATTAAATTACTACGACTAAATTGTTTTTAATGCGACATATCCTTGACAAGACATAACGCACACACGCATACATAAATGATGTAACATGTACACGTGTGTTGTACTTACAGTAGTAGTATGCATCTCGATCACGCATTCGCGGCTCAATACAAGTAGATACAGTTGTTCTTTAGCAAGTATTATTTTCAGATGGCCCGAGGCTCCGAAAACGTATGTTACAAAAATTCTCGTGTTTTATTCTTTATCGAAAAATTTGCATGTCTTGTTGTAACATGTCCTCCATATTTATCAGTATATACGTACTTCTAAATGTCACGAAATGCTTTACAGATTCTTCGTGAATGATCCATACTTTTCTACCTTGCACGTTTCGATCATGATTTGTAGATAACTGTTCGATTATACCGAATACTAAAATCAGAGTTTTGGAGCTTTTACGGTCTGGAGGCCTCAAACATTCTGCACTACTTGGGTCTTCGAATGAGGTCTCTATTTGAAGCTTCTCTATTATTTGCAAAAAATGGAAAGCCTCAGTGCACAGAGATGTTAAAAACTGACTAAAAATTATGCTAAATTATTTGTAAAGAAAAGAAATTTATATTATTAACTGAAAATCCGTATGATTTGTACAATGTCCAATCAAAATTATTACAAAGAAATGTAACTTGATAAATTTTTTCGTCGATAAATTCTCGTATTTTTTTTCTAAATAAAAATATTCGAAACCTGTTTTGAACAATCGATATAATAGAAATGTTGTACGAAAGAAGGCTAACGACATTTTTAGATGACAGTTTGTGGATGTCGTGCATGGGGCCTGAGATTACGAAAAACCTTTGCGAAATCTAAAATAGGAGACGTTCAGCTTGTATGTATAATAATATTGCATGCGGCATGTTTATCGATTAACGTTCTTTCTTGTCTTTCGTTACAGAAAGCACTGCTGGTAAGCGAACTCTCTGTTTCAAAGCTTTCCTCACGTAGATTATCGCAGCACAAAACTCATTTCAATCTGTTCAAAAGAGTTAGAGAATCTCATTGATTATAAATATCACGCAACGCTCTGTTTTCTTCATTTTTATGTACGATAAAACTCTCTCGCGTGACGCCATTACGCGTGAGTCAGTAACGTACGCGGCCATTACGCGTAAGCCTACAACGCGTGAAGCCATCGTATGTAATATTACAGCGTATGAAGCCATCGTATGTAAGACTACACCGTTATGAGGCGATCGCATGTAAGATTACAGCGTATGAGGCCGTCGTATGTAAGACTACAGCGTTATAAGGCCATCGTGTGTAAGACTGCAACGTTGTGAGGCCATCGTATGTAAAATTATCGCCTCTGAGGCTATCGTATGTAAGACTGCAACTTTCTGAGGCCATCGTATGTAAGACTGCAGCGTTGTGAGGCCATCGTATGTAAAATTATCGCCTCTGAGGCTATCGTATGTAAGACTGCAACTTTCTGAGGCCATCGTATGTAAGATTGCAACGTTGTGAGGCCATCGTATGTAAAATTACCGCCTCTGAGGCTATCGTATGTAAGACTACAGCGCATGAGGCTATTACAAGTAAACTTATAATCGTCATAAATAATACTCAAAGCTTATTAAACGATATAACGACGTGATTCTCTCATTTTTTTGAACAATATCTCCTTATTTATTAAATATGTTGTAGCCTAAATATAACAATTTACAACGCTTCGTTAAATACTTGCTGTAATTACTTAAAGTCGCATTTGTCAGTAGATCTGCACGAATATCCCTTAAAATTAAATAGTACCATGCAAAATGAAATTTGGTATTATTTGTTCAAGCTTCTTATTGTTTTGTATTATTGTTGTGCAAGAGAAACCACACACAAACACATTTTATGCCGTAAAGAATTGTAAAGAATGCCTTCGAGGATTGCTATGAGGTAAGAAAACAAAATGACAGAATATCATTGACTCATCATTGTGCATGACAAGTTGTACATACCAACTAATAGCAATGCAACGTTTTTAAGGCTTTTGTAATTATGTGTTAGAAAGCGATAAATATTCAAGGGCATTGTGCACAGCTCTCTACGGTACAATTAGCATTTCTAACACTTGTACGACATTCTTTTCCACGTATGCACCAAGAAAGTTTGTATGTTACAGAATTAGAATTACAATTGTAGTTGCTGATATAGAATTATAAGTAATGCTATATTACCCAGTTGCTTACATCTTGTAATAATTATTATAGCGCTATCGACACATGCTGTTTTTCATTTTTATTTAACGAGACTGTACTAAATTTATTTTTTATGAATTTTTTAGAATCATATACACATATCTATGAAGAATATCACAAAACACTGTACAGACAACAAACAACAATTTACTTATTTTATTATACATACTGTCGCACGTGTAGCTTCATTTTGTTTATTATTTATTTAATTTAAAGGTTAGACTTGCTTTTTCGAAGATATTCCTCTAACGCAGTGTTGGGCAGTTGGAACATTTGATGATAAAAATTATAATTAACAGTTACCATCCTATTACGTTGTTGTATATAAAATCTTAATGATTTCATGAGATAAAAGTATTACAAAACAACAATTGTATTATCTCAGTTTAAAGCTTCAATTGTGACAAAAAAGTGTATATAATCGCTTCGTTAAAATTATTAACGTAAGATGATCGGTTGTCGGCCTCAAAGATCATTTACAGCGAAAAGTGACCTTATCAGTCTAATATGATTTGCTGGCATAAATATGCCTCAAAATGGCACTTATCATATATCAAATTAAAGCTTAAAGTTTAATAAAAACGACTGTATAAACATCTTACTGAAATCCTTAGTACAAAATGCCTAATGGTCAGCCTCAAAGTGCAGTGGCACAATCAATTCATTTGAACTTATTCAATCTTCAATCGCTTTTATACCAAATAATAATAATAAATCTACCTATTTACTGTCTTGTATTCATTTTCCCAATTATTAAGCTTCTATAAGCACTTTACGAATTTTATTTATAAAATTTGACTAATTTCATCAATCGTGATTCTTAATGCCCAACGCTGCTCTATACGCTTGAGGGTAAAGAATTGGGTATTGTCATAATTTACGAATGAAAGTTGTATTCAGAACACGTTTCGACACGTAGACAATATGCATCAAAATTAAAAAACAACGTTTCTTTTATTTCTCAACCAGCTTGCAAACGCGGGTTTGTACCAAGATCTTTACCCTTGTTTGTAGCCGTCGCTGACCGTGATGTAACCTCGAAATCATCCTTGTTTTCTCGTTTCAATTGGCAGGTGAAGAAGATGCAAGACAGGGTGCAGAAGACGAAGGAAGAGGTGCAGAAGGCGAAAGAAAAGTATGAAGCTGCTCTTCAGGAAATTAATCAGTACAACCCTAAGTATATGGAGGACATGACACAGGTGTTCGAAAAGTGCCAAGAAATGGAGGCGCAGCGACTTCAGTTCTTCAAAGAAGTCCTCTTCGGCATCCACAAATGCCTTAATATATCGCAGGATCCAGTGTAATTATACATTTTGTTAGATTTGGGGAAGTACAGGAAAAAAATTCAAGGATTAAATTTGGAATTCTTTAAATTGGAATTTTATAAAATAGTAGGTTTTAGAATTTGAAAATTTGAACGAAGCTAAAATTAATCTATGTAGTAGCCAAATGTACACCCAAGCTCGATATTCAATTAAGATTTTCGTTTTCAGACTCCCGCAAATATACGAAGAATTCTACCACACAATAAACAACGCGGACCACGAAAAAGACTTGAAATGGTGGTCTAACAACCACGGTGTAAATATGGCCATGAACTGGCCGCAGTTCGAGGTAAGATAATGAAGTATCAACGTTCGCATTGCAAATTCTTCTTATCGCATGTAAACCCTTGCTCATGGTTGGATATCTGATGTTAGAAAACATAGACGTAGAGTTGTTCCTTCCTTTTTATAACTGTATTAATATTGTCCGTTAGCCATCTTATATGTCTTCATATTCTGCAATCTTTTTAATTATTTTACAATTCAGAGACCAAAGATAACTTTATTTTGCCCTTAATTGTCGCTTGAGATTTTTAAACGTTAAAGCGTCCAAAGCGAGTAGCTGATCAAACGATTTCCACCGCGATATCGCGTGATCGGATTTCGAGCATGCGATATCGCGTTCATTCGACGTGTGATCCTTCTGACCCCCTCAGAAGCTTTGTATTTTGAAAATTTCAAACGACCCCCCATTAAGATAGAACAAATCTCCCGGAATGCATGCATGTGATTGTTTTTTGGGCATTGCTATTATGCAGGACTACACAGAGGAATTCCGTGAGATCACCAAGGGCTCGAAGTCGAAGGAGGCACTTCCGGCTGGCTCCATCACGCTCATCAATCAACGCCCGGTCGGCGAGGACCTGCATGTAAAGTTTTGTTATGTTTTACACCATCAGTTCGCTTATGCCATGAACTCACGCCATGAATGAGGACAATGCAAGCTTCTTTTAATGTATCCTACTCGAGAACCGTGAACATAGTGTCATAACGGACGGGCAGGACGAGGTCATCGAGGATGGGTTTCCTTTTTCAGCTTCTGGCTCGTCTAACTTCACTGAATTAACCGTAACCGGCTATGCGCTTCTTCTTGCACGGGAAACCTCTGACTCTGTAATACCTACTTCATACAAATGTTTATTTACAAGAACTATGTGTACAGGGTCCATTCACAAATCACCACTTTTACAATGCGACTAGAGAAAGAATCACGCTGTGAATATAAATTTACAACAATTAATTTATATTATAATAATGTATAATATATATTATAGTTATATGTATAATATATATTATAATTACATGTATAATATATATTATACCAATGAGTATATCATTTTTGCATTGTACGTATGTTTTGAAACACCCTGTAGTATTACTACATTACAATTTACAATTGCTACACACATACATATATTATACTATAGTATAATATATATTATATTTATATGGATAGTATATATTATACCAATGAATATATCTTTTTGCATTGTACGTCTGTTTTGATACACCCTGTAGTTTATAGAAAGAATTTGAAAGGATTGTTAACATTATCAGAAGCACTGTTTTGAAAAGAAACTGCATCGCTCTAAGTTCGTTTGATTGTTTATATTATCATTACATTTCACGCAATGTATAATCAACATTTTCAAGACCGATAACACCTTAATTAACATGTTCAGTCTCAGGGTAACAGGTGCACATATCGTCGCCTCTCTGCAACGTGTAATATTACACAGCCGAGTCTGAAAGTGTTAGTTTTCGTTTCATCGTCAGTCATCACACTTGTTCATTGATCGAAACGATTCATTTAAGAGATCTTAACACGTTTCGTGCCTTTGTGGGTCACTGACGACCCAGAAATTCAAGTGCAATATAGACTGAGTGGCTAAGGGGCAAGTTGGGGTGAAGAATATGCCACCATTTGCTTTTAATCTTGAGATGAGAAAAGGTTTTGAAGAACCTGGAGAGAACCTAAGATTCTGAAGGATTCTCACCTTGGACTGCCTGGCCTCATAGATAAGGCACTTGGTGAAGTATCTCTTCCCCTAGACTTAATCGAAATAAGTCTAAATTGCACAACACTGTACATATCAGCTTATCATGATACAAGTGTAAATAAGAAATCAGTCATACGTACTTGCACGCATGATTTTCATATTGAAATATCGTCTGAAGCATCAAATAGAATAAGTTTAAAACTTCCGGAAACAGAATTGAATTAACTGTTCCTTTTTATTAATTTAGGAGTTCCCACCTGTTAACAATAAATCAAAATCGAAACCAACATCCAGGGTAATATCAACGGACAGCGGTCACGGAGATAATAAAACGGACACGATCAGTTCCAGCAAACATTCTTCCGAGAAGAATAATCACGATGGTAATTCGGTGAACAGGACTTCCACGATTACGTGAGTATTTTTCAAGATAGAATCTATCGGGTTTGAGGCCGGTCGAAGCTTTAATTAACCAAATAATTAGTGCAGCGATGTGTTAATTGGCGAAGCTAAGATTCACCCTGATTACTTTTCACGCCTGTGTGAGCAATTTCAAAAGCTGCCTACAGATTGTTCGTAGTTAAAAGTGTTACATCTGAGGTATCTTGTTTTTCTCAGTAACGGTACAAACGTAAAGCAAGAATCAAATCCATTTGAAGAGGAATGGGATGAAGATGGTGGTGAACCGTTGGTCGATAATGGAGAACCTGGAGTTCTTGTGCGTGCGTTGTATGACTATAAGGGAGCCGAAGCAGACGAGCTTAGCTTTAAACAAGGTATGGAGAAAAAAGGATCAGAAGTGCACGATCACTTGCACTAACATTTATCTCTGTTCACTCGTTTCATCTTATTTTAACAACACTTATTCGATTCTTTTTATCGAGGTGATTCAAACTGATGTGACATAAGTGCATTCTGCCGGTACTTTTATGTCAAACTGTTTCAAACGTTGACTAATCTAATAACATAAATCTTGTTCACTGCTCTTCTTGAAGCCGACAGTCAACCATTTTGTCTTGAGAATTTTAACAAATTGTTTATGTAGTCTGTTTTATTAAACTTTAATCTTCAATTTGGTATATCATAAGTGGTATATTATATTTTTATTGTCAAAAAATAATAATGAAAGTTATACGTTTCACAGGTGACATGTTCGAGAAATTAGAAGACGAAGATGAGCAAGGATGGTGTAAAGGACGAAAAGATGGTATAGTGGGTCTCTATCCCGCGAATTACGTAGACCTAGTGTCTGAGTAAATCACCGTGAAGCCAAATTTCATAAACACTGTTAGTTACTTAATACGTATCGCGTAACAGAAAAAGAAAGGAAAAAATGATGAAAAACAAAATTCTTATTTTGTTGTTTATTTCTCTATGAAATAGCGCCTTCATTGGAATTTGTAAATGTTGTTAGATAAGAGAGTTACACGAGACTCTATATTTATTAGAGATCATTCATTTTGTGTGATATACGATGATCGCTAAAAATAAACAGAAATAACGAGATAAACAGTTCGATGTTACGAGTAACTAATATTCTAAATCTACAAGATGAAGTGTAAATCATTAATATTGTCACACGAAGATCAATTCTAAGAGCATCTACTCAAGTCATCGCAACTATCATTTATGTTTGGTTAGTCCTTCAAAATTACTTCATGTACAAGATTCAACAAAATGAGACTTTGTAAAAGTAATTTATTCACAGTCCCATAAAAAATAATTTGATCCATAGAGTTAGGTTAGCCACTGGATCCATCTGTCAAGTTACGTTTCATTCTATAGTAGAGCTCTGATAATTATTGTCATTCCAATTCGATATTACAGAAATGAAATTATTATTATGTTGGTAGCATTGAAAGGAAACTCCTCAGAGAAGAAACTTTTACTCTTACGGGTAATGGTTTACGTAGATAGCTAGGGTTCTCTGTATCCATCAAAATATATATAGTGCTAAACAATAAGATGGATAACACACGAGTATATTAAGTTAATGGAATAATGTACAATCATACGTTTCTTCGACTCATTATTATTACCATTGTTGCTATAAACAAAATTATTGGACGAGAGCGAGAGAGAGAGAGAAAGGTATACTTAATTTATTGTTATTCAAATGATACTATTGTAAACCTGTTCTTTCAAGAATGGTATCGTTGTATATAATAGATATAAGAACATAACGAATATGTAAAGTTGCAATTGTTCAATGAAGTTGAGATTTTATGAAGTTCAAAAGCGAAACAAATTTGGGACCCAAAATTGTCAAATTCTTTTTCCGTTTCTAATCGAATAAATTAAGCATCACGGCTATAACGTTGATTATAAAGCAATGAGAATTATTTATAAGAAATGAAGTTTTTAAAGGTTACAAATTCTAATCAAAGTTGTATCTTGTTTTACGCTAAATTATAACAAGAAAAAAAAGCCTGCGTCATTGATTATTATTGTACTTTTTTGTACATAATTTTTTACATTGAAGCAATGTTTCAGTTATAGTTTACGAGTGGAAAATCATAGTATCTTTGTTAATGAAACAAAATTTTATATGAAAATTAGATATGTAATGTCAAGGATATTTCATATAACCATTACTCTTTTGCTAACAGACAACACGACCTAAGGAATGGATATGAAAGTGCAAAATGATGTACTGAAATATGGTAAAATGTTTTTCTTTTCTTTTTGTTAACCATCAGTCGATGTACAGTCTTGTGCAACTTAGGCGTTTCTTAATTAAGGGGAAGTGTAAGGGGACGAATGTCTCACCACTCGCTCACGTTAGATTGTCTCTAAAGAATAGGAATGTGGAAATTTAGAAATTTATACAACTGCGAGTTTGGAAATTTAGAAATCTAGAAATTGGAGATTTTCCAAGATAGAAAAAAAGTGGTGATGGCTCTCACTCCCTACATTGCACCCCAATGTATCTTCACAAAATTATACATGCTTTGAAAATGCCTTTAGTATAGAAACATCCTTAAGTTAGTAATAGACAACAGTGTTGTGAAATAATTGTGAAACCAAACGGACTGTGTAGATTTAAAAAGTGGTTCGAAAGGGAAGCATTTATATAGTTTTACATACAATGAAATAAATTCGAACACGGTTAGAGTCAGCTTTAACAAAGATGTTTATACAAAATATATTTTGTTTTCGCGAGGCGCTCAGAAAACTTGACTTGTATACGTACATAGTCAAATTTTCAATGATATATATAATATATATATATATATATATAGTGATAAAATTGCTAGTTATTCTTCACGAATAAACAAACACGTGTCACTATACACAGTATTTATGTAAATATAGTAGATTATATATATAATAACATTTACAATTCAGCCAGCGACTGATTTTTGTAATTGTTTACATCATTAGTCCTCCAAATTATTTTCTGTAAAGAGTGTTCACGATTCCAATAATGTTGTTAAATAGATTCTAGTTTGTGTATAAAATTTATTATGTATAACTTAATAAATAGAATATGTACGAAATATTAGAGACTATAAATAATGAATGTCAGGTGTTGACTTTTTTGAAACGCTGATTATATTTACAAGAAAAAAAAACCAATTTGTTTAATTGTGAAATAAATATAAATTACCTAATCATGTCAACGAAGTTGTTAAAAGGAACAATTTATATACAATATTGTGCCGTATAAAAAACATATTATATTTGCATATTGATTAATATACATGTTAAATTCCAGAAAACAAAACATGTTTAATTTATACACAAATGTTTAATTTTATCAGTCCTATTCTCTAGTATGTTTTCTTAAACATATTACGTAGATTTTATATCACAACTCGTACTTCTTCAAGACAAAACTGTATTTCGTACGTAAACAGTTCATATTCATCAAAGAAACAGTGTTTTAGTAACTATTATATACATCAACTTAATATACTCATATATACATATGAAGTATTAAATTATCAGTATATGTACACACAGAACGAGTTCTTTATAAATTGTTAAAAAAATTATACGATAACATAATTATTATCATAACAGAAATCCCTATGCTCATTTTACATATCTTTATGTTTATTGCTTACAAATTACTTCTAGATATGCAGATATCAAAAAACCGTACAATGTTTGCAAATCAAGTAAGTATGATAATGGCCCGTATATACACTTAGAGATTGCTTTTACATACTAATGTATAACATTATGGGTATTTACATTTGCTGCATTAAAGATATTATTTAAATCTGAAAAGATGCAAGACATGAAGTGAAGGAGTAGTAAATACAAGTTAGCATTTAACTTGATCTGTATAATTTTAAATATCCGTGTAAAATGATTACATCAATGAGTTGCAACGTGTTTCTGTAAATCTTCTAGACTTGGGAATGGTTTGTCACATAATTGACAAACATGGGCATTACCATTATGTATATTTAAATGTTCTGTTAGATCTTCTTCTGTTTCAAGAAGTTCATCGCATATCACACACTGAAACTCATAGGCTTTTATACCTTGCTTTTCCCATTCTGCTATCGCAGCTTCTTCTTCATGAGCCTGCATGTGCATTTCTAATAACATTTCTGAACTAAATGTTTCTGAACACTGTAAACAGTGATAATTTTCATCCTTAGATTTATCATTCTCATTAGAAATGTTAATAAGGTTAGGATTATCATCTTCCTCATCAAACAAGTGCTTTTCAACGTGTGCTTCCAAAGCATCTTCAGAATCTAGGGAGTCACCGCAGATAGCACATTGATACTGTTCTTTACCAGGACTGCGATCATCTTCGCTCATATCATCACAATGCTTTTGTAAATGATCTTTCAATATTTCTTCATCTGTAAATATCTTATCGCATACAAAACAAGTGTATGTTTTCTTCCCTCTTTCTGTTTCTGACCCAATATCTCCTTTTAAGGTTTTAGTTATTACTATTTTGTCAGAATCTACTCTAGAATTATCCGATTTTATAATTACATTATTTTCTGTTTTTGAAACTTGATTTTTATTTGACTTAGAATTTTGCAATGGGTTCAACTTCTGAGATTCTCCTTTCGTTATGTTTTCTATATTAAACTCAGACTGATCATGATTTTCTAAATGTCGTACCAAAAGTTTTTCAGTTCGGAATGTAGAATTACACACATAACATTTATGAATTTGTTGTTTCGTAGATTTACAAACATGAGCTTTTACGAACCTAGCTTCGACTATTTCATGGCATCGTTTACATCGCATCATTTTATGTTTATTAGGTCGTTGTATAATATTAGTTTCTGTTTTATGAACGCGTATATGGACTGCGGCATCATTATAGCTATCAAAGGATTGCTGACATATACCACATATATGCTTTTCACCAAGTGAATTTATTTTAAATACATTTTCTTGATGCTCTGTCCTGTGTTCGGTTTTTGCAGATTCAGAAATTACGCCAGAATCTGTAGCTTTAAGTTCCTCTAGTTGCTTTGTTGTAGTAACATTTTTTACATCTTCTTGTGATTTTTGTATATTATGACTATTCTCTGATCTGGACGTTTCGGATATTTCTGTCTCTCCTGATAAATCTGATTCCGAGTCCAAGGGAGATGTATTGTAATCATTGTATCTAACTGGGGGTACACTTTGTCGTTTATGTGAAACCATACTAAATGGCCCACCAAGTTTACCTTTAACCGTGCGTTTTATTGCAACATGTATGTTGTTAATATTTCTCTGTTTACTTTCTTTTGCCAGGTCTAAACGTTTTAACACAACTTTTGGTTGGTATTTCTTAGAATTTGTTACTTCCTGTATAAAAGTAGGTGAATCAGTTCCAAGGTTCTGGGCATGTGAATTAAGATCAGTACCACAACTTCTTATCACGGAAGACTCGAAATTTTTCTTTATAGCTTTTTCTACTATACTTTTCAATTGATGGTCTAAAGTCTGATATGAACTTGTACAAACATTTGGTAACTTCTTGTTCTTTGTACCATTGTTATTCTCTCCAAACAACCTATGCTTCATTTCCTTCTCAACAAAGTTCGCTAACTCAATTTGTATGCATTTTAAAGCTTCCATCTCTGTTCCTTCTACATCAATGTTCAAACACCTTTCGACGTATTTTTTATCATTGGAACCTGCCGGAACTGGATTTATTCTACGAAGCTGTACAGCATCAATAATATCAGTATTTTTCTCTTGCAGATTTTGCTCAGTACTACCACTTTTATTTTCTTTTGGAAGATTATTCATATTTGTTTTATTCACATAAAGGGGTTCTGCAAGCATTAATGTGGAGGTTACAATGTATGTAGCGTCTCCAATTTCTAATTGTGATTTTACTGAACATGGTGCAAATGTATTTTCAGTGATTTCTATTTCTTCTGTTCTTGGCGATTTTACTCTACTATTTTCTAGCAGTAATATAGGAGAGTTCTCTTTTCCCTTCAAATCTACAGAAAATTTCTCGTTCTTTACTTCATCTTTTCTGAAAGTGTTTTTACTCTCAGTTAATGAAATATCAGAATTTATGTCTTTAAAAGATCTTGTTCTACGGGTATCAGAATCAGTATCTACACTCATGAAATCATCTTTACTGTTTCTCATATTATATTTATCTAACATATCAATTTCTAAATTTTTTAATGTCTTTGTCAATCTTATTTGCTTTTCTGTTTCTTTGTCCAAATTTGTTCTTGCTCTTGCTTTTTGCACTGGTGACAATTGTGTATCATCTGAAGTCAAAGAATCTGTATCTGAAACACTTTCTCCTGTTGCTGCCAAAAGAGCCTTTTTTCTTTCAACCCATCTTTTAGTTGATGCTTTCCTCTGTTCAGTTGTTCTACTACGCCTTCCTATTAAGCACTTAACTTTGGTTAAAGCCTGTGATGATTTTATTTCTGTGTTATCTTTATTTTCGTATTTTTCATCGTTTTTATATTTATCGTCATGAGCTCTCTGTGAAGAATCTTTCGAGGATGTAACATCATCTTCAGATATGTACATATCATTAAGCATTATTTGGTCATTCACGCAATCTTTATTTGTAAATTGCAAAGGAATCAATGGTGGTATCTCCGATTTTAATTTCTTCTGAAATAAATATTTAAATTTAAACAATTTACATTATTAACAAAAGAAGCTAAGCTATTATTAATATGAATACCTTATCTGATGCATCTGAAAGACTATCTTCTCCACTTTGTTGTAAATCACCGCATACTTTTTTAGGTTCTGAGTCCTACACAAAAATATGAAATGAAGTACAAACTGTTATTAGGTTATAACTAAAATACATAGTATTTTTTTCCTTTCTGAAATAAAATTTACTTAAGAATTATTCTACATTTTTTATTTTAAGTTAAAATTTAGAATTTTTAAATTTATAAGAATACAGCGCAACCTTTACTCTTGCTATGAACTTATGTTATAACAAAAAAATACAGAAGATTATCAAGTATAATGTATGCATAGATAATCGCAAACATTTTTTTACTGAAACAATTATCTCTGTTTTTTACTTTCTGAAACAGCTATATTCTTACCTGATTATCTGAAGTTTCTACAAGTTCTAATTGACTCAACAGCAGCTGATTTGTTCTTATGAATTGTTCTTTGAATTCATTCCACATATCCAGTTTATAAAGACATGTATGGCAAATAATATCTGGCAGATTATATTCGTTCTTAATCTATAAAAAGAAAATTGCTCAGTTACATGGTAAAAAAATCATACAATTAAAATATTTAAGCTCAAACAATAGTGTAAACATACATTGATAGAGGTGCATTTACTTAGGTCATTTACTTTTGATTGCACAAATTCATCGAATAAATTACTCATGCAACCATGTTCAACGAGACAAATACGACACCTTTCTTTTACATTTGATAATTTACGTTTTCTTGGCATTTTTCCGATTATCTACAAAATATAAAGCGGGATTATACGACGTATCCGTCTTAAATGAATTCGAATACACTGAAGTGAGCACAGAAATAACTACGACTACCATAGAGATACAAAAATATAGAGTGCCTGAACGAGTTGAAAGAGCAATATGTGTCCTAATATTCGTCTCTCGCGCATGACTGAACTGCACAACCAGCAACATGGTGATTGTGGTTGTTTACATGTGGCCGTAGTACATGTGCTTGCTATTTTTGACACGTATTTTTTTAATATATAAATATATAAAGTGTGGAGCAGAATGAGTGAAAGAGGTGGATATCGATGTTGTATAAAAGGTTGTCAAAGTGCAACAAGTGAAAAACGGGGAATCAAAGAAACTTTGTTTAGATTCCCGAAAGATGTAGAAAAGTTAGTTTATTATTTACTTATCTTGTATTTATTATGGCCTTTAAGGGAGAATGCATGAACTGTGTTTAAATATTAGACTAATTTTAAAATAATTTTTGTATTATAATTAAGTTCGATTTAATTGTTGGACCATGTTTCAAAATCAGTTGTTAAACAATCAGTACAAGTAATATTTTCTTACATTCTTATTTAATGTGATCAACATGTGAAAATTTAATTATTGTAGGTATATAACAAAGATTTTAAATATGTAGAAACATAAAAATAATATTGTTTGTAGGTCAAAATTGTGGGCATCAATGTGTGGTAGAGAGGATTTATTTTCAAAGACACCCATACAACTTTATAATAATTATAGAGTATGCAAACTCCATTTTGCAAATGATATGTTTTTAAATTATGAAAAAACAAAATTGCAACCACATGCTGTTCCAAGTAATATTATGAGAAATAATGGTGAGTTACTTTCAAATAAAACTATGTATATACACATAAAACACACATAGCATTTGAATAACATTATGTATGATTAAATATTATCTTATAGATGAAGAAGCAAGTTCAAGTAACTCAAATGTAGAAACGCTTTACATAATCGCTTCAAATAATGAAAATACACAAAAAGAAAGTACTGTATTGGATATATCTACATTCAATGGAAGGAACCTGGATGTAATACATACAAACAAAACAATAGCAAAAGTATCAGATGCAGCAACACAAACACCTTTGTCACTATCTTCTTTTTCTCCGCGAAAAACAAAACTTTGTCAACAGATAAGAGGATATAAGAGAAAAATAGCCAATTTGGAATTACAATTACAGCAAGCAAAGGAAGCGAAGAAAGAAGATATTAATACATTAGATATGTTACTAGATAAATATTTTCCAAAACAGAAATCTGAATACTTAAAAGCACAAGCACGCCTCTTTCAAAAGGATGCAAAAGGTAGAAGATACGATAGCGCTTCATTCAAACAATATTGTTTATCTATATATTTTTCAAGTCCTAAAGTATATAAAGAGTTAATAAATAAATCTAAATTATTTTGTTTATCTAGCTGCGCAACTCTAAAAAGATTTACACAAAACTGTTATATAAATCCAGGATTACAAGAAAACGTATTTCAAATGTTAAAAATTAAGATTGACACTTTGCCAGAACTTCATAAATACTGCATATTTTGTATATACGAAATGTCTTTTAAAATACGCTTATTTTATAATATAACAACAAATAAAATCATAGGTTTTGAAGACATAGGATATTCACAGAATTATTCACAGTTACCTGCATGTATTATAGCAGTTATTATGGTTAAGAGTATTTGTCATTCATGGAAACAAACATTAAATAAGTATTTCTTTTTAAACTCCACAATGAAAGCATCTGATTTACTAATAATTATACAAAAAAATTCTATTAAATCAATAAAATGTTGGATTATTAGAATTATGCAATTATTTACAACAATTATTATTAGTTCCTATTCCTATTCCTATTTCCTATAAATTTATAATGACATATAATTATTTATTATTCCATTTTTTCAGCGGAAACATGATTTATTAAAACCTACGTTTATTTGTTTCGCATTTAGTTTTAGTTTAGTCTTTAATTTAATATAACTTATTATTTATTCATTATATTAATTAATTAATATTCCTAAATATTTTTAGGTATACATCAATAAACTCAAATTAAGAAAGAAAAACAAGAATTCAGTATCTAGATTAGGAATGATGGATCAAGGATGGATACACATTTGTAAATGTTATGATTATCAGATTATGTTTTTCCAACGTCTTTTATAACCCACACATTTTACATTTCAGATACACAGCAAATACATAAAATGTAAAATGTTGCAATGTAATAGATACGTAACAATAAGTAGGAAACACGTATTTATTAATTATTGTATATAATAATTATATTCTTAGTGATTTTGATAAAATTGTATTTTAATTAAAAATAATAATAATTACAATGGTTCTAACTTTCTTCCCATCAAGTGAGATATTACTCTAGAATTTTATTTTCTTTTAAAATATTTAGTAAAATTCTTTCTTAGTGTTTTTACAATATTGTTATTAGGCATATCTTTTTTTTTTTTTGTATTTGTGCATTTCAAATTAGAGCCCGCGCACAACCAGCAACATGGCGTTCTTTTAGTCATGAGATCAAAGGTGTCGACACCGAGTGAATTTGTGCATTCTTATATTGTGGCTGCGTGAATCTACTTGTTTTATAATTCTGAATTGATGCATCATACTTCTTCCAAGAGTCTGCATACTTCTTCTTTACAAAAGTCTTTGAATAAATATTTTTCTTTATGTTTTCCTTTCAGAAAAAACAAATGATTATTTGAATAAAAGTAACATGTATGAATTTCCATTTGAATAAAAAATATACTTCATGAAGATTTAATTCTATAGAAATTAAAGTCACAAAAAAAACTTAAGTATATATTCAATATTAATTCAACTTTATTCAAATATTTAAAATAGCGATAATATAGTTTACATTAATTTCTTAATACTTATTTGAGATACAACTCTCTAACATATAGACAATGAAATTAGGTCAATAGACATGGTCCAGATTAACATCATTAACAACAGAAGTGGCCTCATAGGCTAATCGTTCTGCTTCTCTCTGAGCTGCAATTGCATTATGTTCTTCTGCAATCTTTTGGTAAAGCTGACTATGCCTGTCCTTTGCTCTTTGTACACTTGCAGAATCCTGCAAAACAACATATAATCGTTAAGTGAAAGCTACAAATTAATTATAGAGAACACTTATTTATAGCTAATTAGATGAATACATATAATTCATGTCTGTCTGACACAGTATCGCTGTCTGACACAGTATTTTGCTGTTCCTCAAACTCCTAAATTGAGAAACATCAAAAGTTAATCTGTTTATATATAGTACATACACAGAATTAAATTTGTTATTCAAGACATGTACTGAAAATCTCCAAACAGTACTATGTATATAAAACTTTACTTAATGCACAAACATGCATCAAAGTATAAGGGTAATATACCTGAGTAATTGGACAAATAAAGGATAAGACATGAAAATTGTATTAGACTGATGTTAATGAGCTATAACAAAACACTTAAGGTGTTAAATATTAATAAGACATAAGATGCCTTTAACTTGTCAAATGTTGATGTGGTGTGTAAGATATTTATGCCTTGCATACAAGGCATTCAATATATTAATATGGAACATGAGGCATTTTATGTGTCAAACATTAATGAAGTACATGAGGCATTTAATGTACAAAATATTAATAAGATATATGAGGCATGTAATACGTTAAATTTTACTATGATATATATGAGGATACTTTTAAAATATAACTATTACAGATACATGATTAAACACTTAAATTACCTTGGGAAGATTAAGTGGAACACCGTGCGTATTCGCTTCCGCTATCTTCTGATAAAGACGAAAGTGTTTTTCTTTACCAAGCTTTACCGCTTCGGAATCGACAGGTTGAGCAAGCGTGTCTTCATAATTTATCAAGTATGCATGAAATCCAGCTTTGTCGGCGGTGTACTGTACTGTTCGCACCTTATGTTTCGGGTCAATAAATGAGTAAGAACCTGAAAAAATGTTGGATAATTGAATCTTGAAGGATTTTAATTGCATATTCCATGATTACCTTGAACGTGTCCGGCACTGTCTCCATGCTCCTGATGGACTCTGTCTACTTGTCCAGGATATCGTCCCGCTTGATACTCGAAGCTGTAAGGCTTGGGAGGTGGCGGGGGCGTCGTAGTAGTCGTTGTCGAATATTCTGGCAAAAGATGCGACACATCGCCCAAACAGGGGCTAATCAGAAAGATTGTGATCTAATTTGAAAACATTTAAATCCAGTGAATCAATTAGCAATAAAAAATTTGAATAATTAAGATAATGAACGACGCAATTAAAATTCCAAGATGATTACGGCATCTTCCGATCGCATAATATCTGATATTAGTATCTCCATTTGCAAATATGACCTTCGGAAAGTTAATCTTTTATTAACGTGTAAATCAGCGACCTCAAATATAATGATATAATTTTAATTTTGATGTTTAAAATTTTTCATTTGTTTAATAGATTTTCTATGGAATCGAAACACTTACTATTAGATTCCTCATTATAATGCGTACAGATGGATAGCTTCGTTTACACGGATCGACACAAACTGAGGGAACAGTGTCCACCAGTGAAAGTAAATATAAGAAATCGAAAAGGTGGAGGCAATACGTGTTAAGCCTGTTTTAACATCGACTCTTCTTCGAACTTAATAGACATTCCTTCGTGGTAAGTATTAAAAAGGAAAGTATAATTTTTCTATTGCATTCTGAATATGTCTGAGCATTTAGAAAGAGAAGTTATGTGATAAATGAAATTATATGAGGCACTCAATGTTTCAGGTATGGATGAGATGAGGCGTTTAATCTGCTAAGAATTAATAAAGCATACTGAGGCATTTAATATATTAAACATTACTAAGGAATATGAGGCATTTAATATATCAAACATTACTAAGGAATATGAGGCGTTTAACATATCAAATATTAATAAGGAACGTGGCATAGTTGTCCCATGAAAACACCCAAGATTACTAAAATAAGAAACATCACGATGTTTACCACGTTTTTTATTTTCCACTGAGATCATCCAGTTTCATCAGAGAACAAAAACAAATCTATACAAAACAAATTTTTGTAACATGACTTATATAACCGTTTAATCGATATCCAGCTTCTTGAATGTTCCTTCGACGCCAAAAAGATCGTATGCTGTTTTTCCTTTGCCAGGTCTTAGCGATTCGTTGACTCGTCTCGATTCTTCTTGTATAAAATAATCTCGATTCGCTTCGAGCTCTTTAACCGCTTTTTCATGAATCTTCATTAGCGGGCCCCCTTTTCCACCAGCTTCATTTGGAAGTACGTCGATTGGAATAAATTTCGATAAGGTGTCCAAATTCGTGTGTGTGTGAAGCTGAAATAAATCATTGAAACAAACTTCAAAAAATGAATGCTGTCATCTCTTTTTTAAGATGATTATTATCAAAATAAGTAGCTTTCAATATAAGGTACGACGCATTATGCTCTCCGAGTAGATGAGGTACTGATCAAAAAAAGAGTATGAAGTATTTTACATTGAAATAATGTCTGTTTACAGTGAAATTATATCTGTTTCTCAAAATACAATATGAAGATCTTAATATACCACTCTATAATAGTGTACAAAACACTGTGTATACTCGCAATAGTATGAGGTATTCTGTGACCACAAAAATAGGTTATAAGGCACCTTCTATCCTTGAAAATATTGTATGAGGCACATCGTATACCATTTTAAAATGCTCGAGGTATTCTATAAACTACTTAAAACTTGTCTAGGCTTAGTAATGACTCTATCATTTTGCATTACCATGTCCATGAGTTCTTTCTTCATGAACGGCTTCATCATGTTGAGTATCACATCCATCACGGGCGTGATATTCATGAAGTGAAACCCTTTCAGACGAACCGGTAATGCATCTTGCAGAAAGGTCAGATACTTCTTCAATCCCATAGGATTTAATCGCGCAGCATGTCCTAGTACAACATTCTTCATGTCGAATAAGATGATGTGTCCTGGCATCGTACCCTCTGAGTAGAGCCACAAGTCCAACACCATGCTCAGATATTTCATTCCGTCGTTATAGACGTAATGCGACGGCTCTGGATCGATTAACCTTCCATAAATAATGTTGTAACCCTCCGGTGTTTTCTTCTCCAAGATTGATGTGGTACTGAAAGAAATTGAAGTAATTAAAATTTCATTTTGTGTACTCGTTTACAGAACTTTAAACTTAACTTCGTTTACAGAATCGGCTGAAGATGTAGCGTGAGATGGCTTGTGCGTGCAGCTCGCAATTAGAGTGATATGCAAGAAAAGATAATTCGAGATTGAAAGATAATGACCGTGAAGATGAACAGTATTCCGTAATATTTCACATCGTTATGATGTTATTTATGCACTGTCCTTGATATCAATATTAATTTTCTTCATTTAAAAATTTCGTGTAATGCTTCATTCTAACTTTCACACTATTCTGTCTCCATTTTCAACGCATTGTCAACGTTTTAACGCTTAAAATTGTAGACAAGACTTTATTTTATAAGTACGCGTTAAGATATTTGTTCTATTTATTAATTTTGAGGCCTCCAGAGCGGCCTCACAACGTAGTTTAACTTTTGTCTGATTCAGTTTTTCGTGAAATCCTTGACATATGACATTCTGTATACTCACACTGTCTGGAAAGATTTTCTCAGATCCTTGTTTCCTAAAGGATCTCTGTTCGCAAAAAATTCAGGGACGTGTGTCTTTATGGTATAATAAGTATCGATAGTATTTTTTGTTGTTTCTATCCGGTAATAATTGCTGTGTAAAAACAACGCTATTTCGGAGTCGGTCATTTCGGGCAAATGTGGCTGTTTCTTGTTCCAATCCTTCAACATTTGCACATCCTCCTTCTTCATTTCCGGATTCTTTTTCAGCTCATCTTCAAACTTCACTGGCTTGAATGCGGTCATGGTTGGCTTCTTTTAAGAATTAGTCTTGCGATCTTGAAGCACTGAAGAAAACTGAAATATGCGAGGCACGGAAGAAAAATGAAGTATAGCAACAAAAAATTACTTCCTAATGATCGCGTCCACGGCTTGAACAGCACTGACAATCCATAGACATTTGAGTAGATACAAACCAACTCGTAAAATGGCGTAGAACGGATCATCACCGTATAATCACACGTAGCGTGACGAGCGACTACTTATTAAATTGTTAAGTGTTAAATTATACACATATTCCGAGACGACATGAAATATTCATAATAATATATAAAAGCAATTATAACTCAAATACTTTATAGTTTTTATTAAAAATTGTATATCTTATCTGTGTTTCTAATTAATATAAATGTTTTAGAAACGGCGATGGAATATCACTTATAACAATATTCTTGTATTTAAATTACAGAGCAATTGGTACGTAAAGGAATGAAGGCACCGTTATATTTAATTAGAAACTGTACGTTGTCCTAATTAACTAATGATGCAAATAGTAACAATCTAATACCGTTTGAGATTTTTAAAAATCTCGAACCTTAAATAAAAAAGTTCTCATTAGTGAAGCATCACACTGAAGCCTCAAATAATACATACAGCAGAGGCGACCGTACAAGCTTCAAAGCTCATATCTGCCTTATTTATTTCAAGGAAATATTAGTAAAAAATAATTTTAATCTATGTCAAGCTTCTTGAAAGTGCCCTCAACTCCAAACAGGTCATTCGCAATGTTACTTTTGCCGATACGCGATGACTCATCCACCCGAGACAGTTTCTCCTCCTCGATGAACCATTCTCGTTTACTGTCGATTTCTTTCGTCAACTTGTCATGCAACGTGGACACCGAATCCGCTTTGCCACCCATCTCTTTAGGAAGCGCATCGAGGGATACGTGTTCCTCTAACGTCTTCAACGATGAGTGCATGTGTATCTGAAAAATAAACCAACAAGGGTGAACAAAGATGCATGGGTAGATATAATATTCGTTGCTGATACTTATTAAAGTAAAAGAAATTACTGCACAAAACGTTACTCATCATTTTTCAGCTGTTCCCTGAACCGGAAAATTATTGTTTCGTATAAAGTCAAGCAATTACAATTTTACGTAAGACACCGTCGAACCAAAGACATGTAACTTCGAAATTATTACTCTTATAATTGGCTGGTAAGATACGGTGCAACTAAATATCGGAAGAAATGTTGTAACGATTACTCGAGAATGTTACTTAATAAGCAATCGGATCGAACGTTTTTGATATTCGTGTGAAATTTTTAATCTTTTTGTATTGTTGGTACTTTGTTGCTTCTGAAACTTATATGTTCAATGACTTGTAACTCAAAGAGAAATGAAAAGAAACTGAGGTAGAAAAAGAAAGTGGACAAAGTCTAAAAAGAGCCTGTGTCCTAAGTCTAGCAATAATTGAAGAAAAACCTAGAAAGAAATATAAAGTGATCTAAGAAGAGCTTACATCTAAGAAAATTCTAGGAAGAGAAATCTAAGAAGAGTCTAGAGAGGATTCAAGAAAAACTTGGCATCATAAAGCCTCACTTGAACGCTTCGAAGGCCTCAAAACCCTAATTGTGCCTTACACGATTACTACTGTTTGAACAACTCGAAAGTAAATTGCGTTCAATAGAAAAGTCTCCCCATTTACAAAGCTTCAAATAGTACAAACTGCAAAACAAATCCAATATAACTGTAAATCTATTCATAAAGTTTGATATCCTATTTCGCGTTACCATGTTCCAAAGTTCCTTCTTCATGAAAGGTTTCGCCATATTGAGTATCACATCCATCACAGGCGGTGTATTGATGAAATGAATCCCTTTCAATCGCACGGGTATTGCCTCTTGGACGTACATAACCAACTTCTTCATCCCCATAGCACTCAAACGACCCACATGGCCGAGACTCAAATTAGCCGAGTCCCCGATAAAAATGTATCCGTCGCAGGTACCGTTATTCAGTCCAATTAAATCGGATGCCATGAAGAAATATTTCGTGACTTCATCAAAGGAATAATGCGCCGGGTCAGGATCCACTAACTTCGAGAGAAGTATCTTGTAACCTTGCTTTGAAGTACTCGGTAATTCGTTGATGGCTCTGCAAGAAGAATATGATTATTGTAAAATTGTACAGTATATAGAAAATTGTGCAGGATTTGAGACTCACACAGTATTGAATGCTTGACGCACTTCCTTCGATCCCAGAGGATCCCTGTTTGAGAAGAATTCAGGGACGTGGGATCGGATGGTGAAGAAGTTCTCTGCCGTATTTTTGGCTGCCTCCATGCTGTAGTAATTGCTGTGTAGAAACATTATCAGCAGCAAATCGGAAATCTTCGGTAGATGTTGCTGCTTCTCGCACCATTCCCTCAGCATCTCGATGTCCGACATCTTTATTTCCGGATTCTTCTTCAACTCGGCCTCGAGGGAGAAGGGATATGGCAGTGGTATCATCTTCTTAGAAGCCATGGTTTGATTAACTGGAAATAAAGGACGAGTCTTAAGTTTAAATCTTACAATTAGAAGCCATAGTTTGAATAACTGAATGTAAAGTTCAAGTCTTAAACAAAGATTCTTCTAAATATTTTCCAGGTGAGTTTCATGAAGTTTAAATCTTAGAAACCATAGTTTGAATAACTGAATGTAAAGTTCAAGTCTTAAACAAAGATTCTTCTAAATATTTTCCAGGTGTGTTTCATGAAGTTTAAATCTTGAAGCCATGATTTGAATAACTGAAAGTAAAGCACAAGTCTTAAATAAAGATTCTTTCAAATATTTTACAGGTATATTTCATGAAGTTCATATCATTTTTGAAGGTAAGACCTGGACTCAGTTTAATTTCATTCGAATATTAAAATTAACAATATCAGTAAAAAAGATCGTTTTTTTAGTGCGTGTAAGAAAATGTTTAATAACTAAATGCAAATCCAAGGATTATATAATTGAAAAACACTGCATCATGACAATGATTCAGCTAAGACACTTCCTACTTACAAGACCGCGTAGAATTGCACTGGCGAACGATTTGAAGTCTCGGCGAATACTGGAGAGAAATACGGAATCCAGTTGATTTTTAATTGATATCACGAAATTAATCATAAACGACCACGCAGTTACAAGTATCCGTTAGAACGCGAGTTTCCGTCTAAAGAGCAGCGTACTTTTTAGCTGACCGACTCGCATAAGAAGAGGGTAATTGCGGCAGCAGCAAAGCATGAATTAGTATGAAAAAGCGAAGCCCGTAACGCAGTGACTCAAGAGAGATGGTAGAGTTGTCTTACCACGACACGAACTGTCGATATGGCGATCCGTACTGTTATAACGCTAATTAATTTTCACGGGCAACATCGCAGGATTATGAAAGCACATGCGGAAATGGAGGAGGCACGGACATGTAGGCATTACAATGCTTTCTAATTTAATCATTTTCTGATCTAGTTCCTCGTTCGTTCCGTTTTGGACACGAACTTTCGTGCCCCTCCTGTTCAAATTTCTTGTGATTGTACGGTGCTAATTACAGATGATGTGCAAAATCGCCAACAGTGATTTATTATAGCGATTAAAAGGATCGGGATTGAACTTTGTTCACGACCGTCCTTCGGAAGATGGCATTCAGGAGCGGCCCTCATTAACTGTGATCGTTATTTCCTACTTTGCATATCAAAATTTTATTTTATTCATAATAGCTGCTTTGGTTTTAATTAGTTTTCTAATAATAGACATCTATCATGTTATATACACAAACACTCTTATAATGCCATTCTTACATTATTATAAATATATTTATTATAAATATAATGTTGTAACATATGTTGTAATAATGTATAATATCATAATGTTATAATGTAAGTTACACATATGTCAATTAAATTTTTGCCAATATTCATATTAAATTTTTATACATTACCACATTCCGTATATATGTGTATTATACATTACTTCAAACGATAACAAGAAGTAACTTACAATTTAAAAATACAAATAGGTTAGTTTTACATATGCATTTTATTGAAAAATTTTGTGAACATTTATGAAACACAATTTGAAGAAATTAAAAATTGAACATACAGTTTATTATTGTACACTATATACTTACAATTTATTATTTCTACTCTTCCTTTTTCTTTCTCCTAATAAGCGAATTATATTAACGTTAATTTTAGATCATAATGCACGTATAGGCTAAGAATATAATTTGTAAAAATTGAGAATATTCTCTACCAATCAGAAGCAATCGAATCACTGTGAGAACTCACCGTGATTGAGAATAAACGTGATCGAGTCACGAATAATTCAAAGTAGCAGTTATTTCTAAATAACCACAAGCATACAAATTATGTATCATCGTGTATCATTGAGGTGTGTTGTAGCATATTACTTATGAGGCCAAATAAACTGTAACATCAATATGAAATTATAAAACAAAAGAATTGTGCAATGTTTAGATTATACCTTGTAGAGTGTGTTTAGAAAGGAAATTCAGATTTGGCGCAGAAGGATAAAGCGCTTTTTTTAGTTCTTCTGATAATCACCGAAGCAAGAGAGCGCTAACATCGTCATAGCGTGTTGAGTTAATTTTACGTCATATGTATTCAACATGTATACGAAAATCTTAGACAGCTTCAACGAAATTCTACGGCAGAGTTTCAATTGTTTTAATTATTTTCTGTCTAATTTATCGTAAGTGTGACTTTGTAATCAACACTGTCGGAAAAAATTAATTGCGCAGAATTAATGTACATACTATGAACCGTCTGGATGATCCTCCGGGTCTCATGAAAGGCAGAAAACCATCTTTCATTGGAATGAACGGTATTTATACTTTTTTCAAAAATATATGAAGAAGTATAACTTATTTTAACGTTAAATGTTTTAAAAATTATACAGTATTTGATTTTTAATATTTGGTGTTAGGTTAGGTTTTAACAGAGGATATACATATTATGATTAATTATTTGTTAAATATGTGATTGTTTTTGTTTAGGGGGTCCAGAAACAGATGATCAACAACGCTTAAGATTTCAGGTTGAGTTGGAATTTGTTCAGTGTCTTGCTAATCCAAATTATTTAAATTGTATGTTTACTAAAAAGTTTTAAAATATATAAAAGGTTTTTGTGAAAGATAATAACAAATGTTATTACAGTTCTAGCGCAACGTGGATATTTTAAGGACTCAACATTTATCAACTATCTTAAATATTTGTTGTACTGGAAGGAACCAGAATATGCAAAGTATTTGAAATATCCTATGTGCTTGTATTTCTTAGATTTATTGCAATATGAACACTTTAGGAGAGAAGTTGTAAATTCTCAGTGTACAAAATTTATAGACGATCAACAAATTTTATTATGGCAACATTATACCAGACGTAGGACAAGACTATTACAGACTGCTGCTGAGCAAACGCAACATACAAATCCTCAAAACAATGGTATTGTACAACCTAAAGTTCCTTGAATAATATATTATATAAAATTTGCTATTAAACGGGTCCATAAAAACTATAATACTAAAATGACATTACATAAAATCATCTATATAATATAGTTCCTTATCAGAATTGTTTTAGTAGTGTTTTTTTGGCTATAAGTCACAAATAAAGTACTTTTCTATGTTCGCAATATATCTGTGATTACACTTCTCCCTCTTTCCTTCTATCTCTCATGCATATTTAATTTATATAAAGAACTTCGCTTAAAATCTAACAGCATTAAATCATAAGTGAAAATTACTTTAAACAAGTAGACGAAACTTATAAAGTTTCATTGTTCATATACACTAAACTAAAAGATGCATATGTTTTAAATAATTGGCAGAAACAAATTGAAATAAAGACGCTCAAATTGTAGAATCTGATTTTGGACGAGCGATGCTGAAACCTGAATAGCTGTTCATAATTATTATGACTATTTGTGCTTCAAGACAGTGGAAAAGGTGGAAAATAATTGAAGATACTGAATAGATGCTGTGGATTTTACCTGTTTTAGTAAGTCATTTTGTTTCACTCTGAAACAATCTGTATTAATATAATTATTCAAGTACTGTTCAATCATTTTTTTTTTTCATATAACATTTCTTGTAAAACACATTTTTATTTGTTAAGAGGAGACAAGTAATAAAAGGATGTATCCATGTAACAATAATTACCGCCTTTTATGTTAAATTAATTTTTACACTACTTAGCCCTTACAAATGCAATACTTTGGTACCTGTTGAACTATATAAAAAGAATTAAAATATGAAACATTCCAGCTCCTACATTTGTTTTAGCAGGCAGTGACAACTTACTTTATTATAATTTGTTTAACGCATTATATTTAACAAACAAGAAATTACTATAATATGAAAAATATAGTACTTGCGCTTAAGTAATCTAAATCACATATTACGATATTAAATATACATATATAAAGAACCATAAAAAGTAGTAAATGTCCAGTCAAAAATTTACATTTCCAATCACATCGTAAAAATCCTTATAAAAAATCAAGGCTTCTAAACAGTACAATAAAGTGATCTCATTTTTTAACATGCCCATAGTTTTCAGTCAGAATTCTTGTTCTCCGTGAAATTCACTAATATACCATTTCCAGCATCCACCCAATCCTCCGAAAACAATTTTGTTCTGAGTATCTCCCTTTCTGAGGCATCTTCAATGGTAGGTGGGGTTTCGTTATTCAGATTATCATTGTTTCTTTTCTCTCTTCTTTTCACTGTTAACAATTCAGAATCTTCTGACGTGTCCGGTAAGACTTTGTCAAAAGTTTCTGGTAAGATCAAAACGAGAGCTCCAGACACTAAGCATAGCATTCCAATGATCAGTAGTGGAATGGTGACTGGAAAATATTCTCCCTAAAAATAAAAATTGGTCTCATCAATATGTCAGAAATTGATCCTTGTTTTATTAGGTATTTAAATGGATCTTATGGTGAATAATAAGTTAATAAGAGGAGTTATGGAAATGGAAATGTTGGTGTTTCACAAACTTACAGTAATTTTATATATAAAAATTTGAAAAGGTAGTGGGTAACCACTGTACCAAGGTGCATTAATGTTTGAGGCCATGATTCAGGATGTATCTTATTAAATTAATATTGCAAACAAAGTGTTAAGCAACCGAGATATACAAAACTTACCGATAATAACACATGCGGTGTACACAAACTGCCTATTTTGGCAGAAACAGTACAGAGACCTAAACAGGTGCCTCGTACAACAGTTGGAAATATCTCAGTCGTGTATAAATATGCTACAAAAACAGTACTCATTACTGTTATTCTACCAAACAGGAGCATGATAGTTTTTGTGAGGTCTGCAAATAGAGTATACAAATTTATTCAACATCTACACATTATTAACACTAGAACTACGAACATTAAATGCTCGTTTATCGAAGAATGAAAAATAAAATGAAAAGGGAAATAAATAAATACTAAAGCATCAAGTAACATATAGAACTAGTTTTTACCTCAACAAAATATGACAAACATTTCCATAAAATCACGACAATAAAATTTTGTAATATGAAATGAGAAATCTGAAACCAGTCATTTTGACTGGTTGGTAGTTCTAGTGTTAATCAAAAACTATTAACAAGTGTTTTATAAAATTTTAACACATTGACCTATCATTCATGGATGATATTTGAGTTCCCATAAAAATCCTAATGTTATTAAAGTTTTACTTGTTAGAAATATATTTGCTATTTAAAGTTTGTTAAAAGTAGAAATACTATTCCATGAAGTTTTTAGTAACATCAGTATGACGGTCAATGTGTCAGTCTTATAAAATGTTAAACGCCTACCAATGGTTGTCACAGGATTTGACAATATAATTGTAGCCGCTATTAAAATGCAAATAACACCACAAATGGATTGATATGCAGACATAGGTATCCGTCTGCCATATCTGGAGAGTACAAAGTAGGTGAACACATAAGTTGCAATTTCTAAAGTCCCTCCTAAAGCAAAGTCGACGTGTCGATTAAGAGGCAAAGGTGGGACAAGTGTCATGAAAACATAACAGGCCATGGAGGAGGTAAACCTGCAACAAATGAAAAATAAATACTCGTACGAGGTCTACCTGATTATCAAAAACAAGTACCGCACAGTTACCATTGAAAAACCATTACAGCTCCATATTTTCTTAAAAGTATGGATTTCAATTGTTCCCTCAATTCATGTTTGGTTTGCATATTCTCTTCAATTTTTTCACACTTCTTCTCTTCATCCGTGACCAACATCTCTTTCTTCTCAGGTGAGCGCAGCTCTACGGTATCGTACGCTTTCTTCATGGATAATCGCTGATTATTGGCTGGCTGGGATATCGACTTGGACTTCTTATGACTTTTAGAGCTGGATGGAATATTCCTTTTGTCCACTTCACCTTCGAGTTGAGAAGACTCCGTTTCGCATTCCGTTTTAGATAGTCTGCTCTCCAGATTTTCGGAAATTGCTCTTAAACTTGTTTCTGTAATACATTATCCATTTATAACGTTGAAAAATTGTACAAAAAATAGAATAGTTTCTAATTGTTACTTCGAACTTTCTGTTCAGCAACGTCCACGTTGCTGCTTAGTAGATTAGCAGCCTCTTCTTTCATTTCACTGTCGGTTTTTGTTTTCTTCAGGTCTGCACAAGAAACACGTGACTTTCTCTCCGGTTTAATCGGCGTTGTATTTTCGAGAATGCTCATTTCCGTTTTAGAATTCTCCCTTCGCGATTTGGTGCAGCAAACATTGTACTTTCCAATGCGTTCCACTGCCATGTCTGCTTCTGTCGTTTTTCCCTTCGCTAGCAGCCATCTCGGCGATTCTGGTATCATCCTGTATATCAAATTACATTTATTTACTCGTTAGTTATGCTGCAATGAGCATAACTGTCAGTTTATTTTCTGTCATAACATGTCGAACTTAGGGTACATTTTACCGTTTATAGTAATGGCTGTTTGAGGCCGATGACCAACCATGTTGTATTCAAAATTAACAGAAAATTCTTATGATGTCATTTTTGTCAAAGTTTAAGTTTCGAAACAATGTGCGATAAGTGTCATTTTATAATTCTTTTATGTCATGAAATTGTGTTAAACTTTATGCGTTTCGTTTGATATATAAAAATTGTTTATTACAATTGACTATACACCATTTTGTATCGAGTTTCAAATTTACATGCTGCATTACTGCTTTGTAATATATCTATGTCATAAAATATTGTTAGACTTGAATTTACATCTCATTGTTTGCAGTAAACGATTATTGATTGAGGCAGATAACCAACCATTTCACATAAAAAAATTGAACAAAGTGTTAGCAGTTTTGTTTGTTACACCTTAAGCTTCAAAATGGTGTGCTATAAGTGTCGCTTTATGTCACATTTGTCTGATTTCATATTAAAATCACTGAATATAAAGTAGCGTAGTATCTTTGTAAAAAGAATTCATGATTTAATTATAAACAATTATTACCAAATGTAAAGCACCGTGATCGCTGTAGGAACCGAAACGGCCAACTGCAAGATCCTCCAGTCAGGTATGGCGTAGCTGAGTGCAGCAAGGAGTAGTAAACCAATGGCCCACGCAATTTGCATAACTAAAGCAACGAATGTCCGCGCTTTCGCAGGAAACAGTTCCAGGGATAAAATGTAAGTCGAATTTTGCAGACCCTGAACAAAGACTCCTTGCAGTCCGCGAAGAGCCAGGAACGTAGGATAGTTCTAAAATTAGCATTCCATTCAGAACTGCCTCCTTTCCTTTTTCATTTATAGGAAACTCCGTGTTTACCTGCACGACGTACAACGCCACAGCCATCGTGCCCTGAGTGTAAAGGCATATCGCTTGGACCGGAAGTCTTCCGATACGATCCGCCAAAAGGCCGGCGATCCAAGCACCCATTAATACACCGATATAATAAACGGTTGGACCAAGAAACGTCAAATATTGTTTTTCGCATATTAAACCCCATTCCGTTACCACGCTGTTTTCCCCAAACTCGGTTGCAAATTGATAATCTCCGAAACACAGATTTAAATCCAATGACTCGAGACCGGAAGTCTGATTGGTTGCAATAGTCGCGTTGCTGAGATCTTGACAACCGTACGTTCGTTTCGTTCCGTTTTTTGCCTGTAATTATGTGAATGAAACTGCCTCAGCGTTTTAGGAGACTTGTGTTACATTTTCGTGACTTTATTTTACGTTACTAATTTATATTCTACCTCCGCATTGTGATTTACTCAATAATTCTTTTCTATTACCAAATTACAAATTTGAATAATTTCTTCAAATACAAGGTTGTCAAATTTTTAATATTATAAAATATTTAAATAGTAATATCATAGATATTAAGAATATTAGTATCATAAGATGTTAAGAATAATAATATCATAAGATATTAAGAATAATAGTATCATAAGATATTGAAATAATAATATCATAAAATATTAAAATAATAATATCATAAGATATTAAATACACATAAAAAGATTGTTTCATTTATTAAATTAAAAATGATTGAACCTGACCATTAAAAATTGCCTAAAATAATTCTTTCAATGTTTTTTATTTTACAAAATTTTAATTCCGAATATGAGGCCATAAAGCACGCACGTACAAAAAACAGTTTTACGTTTTACATCTCATAGATTAATTTCATACTCTTTCATTTTATTTTTCTCTGTTAAAAATTACTGGATGCACAAGAATCTTACCTGGCAGTAAAATTTCGGCGTGTAATTGTGAAAAATCGGCAACGCGTGGCTCATAGCAACGATCACATAATTAACACCCAACAGCAACACGATAACTATTTGAAAGCATCCAACTTTGACCTCCTCCGCGTTCATCTTACAAATTCTTCAACAACCACGTGTTACAATGTACAATCAACAACGAATGAAAATTCACTGAGTCCATCCAGAGAAGATAAATCTTGAAATCGCAAGTTCACAGAAAATAATTCGTTTATCCATTTGCACAGTGAAAGAAAACCAAGATGTGAAAAAGTGAATTGATAAAATTAAGAGAAGTTTTCTGGCGGCATGTTGGTCGAGAAGGAAGGAGCCGAGACGACGAGTAAAAGTTGTGTCGCGGAGACCGAACAAAGTGTCATCCGTGAGGGTGAAGCACGCACTAGCTGAAGAGGAGAATCCTCTCTCTCTCGAAGGATAGTACGAAAGAGGAACTGATTCCAAGCCGTGTTGAATCGGAGAAGGACAGAAACGTGTACTATTGTTTCACGGCTTGGCGACACGTATCCCATTAACGCACCCACGTCACGGGAAAACGATCTTCTGTCAATAATAATCGATTTTTAAATTGACGTAACATGAATTTTGCATTTCGAGGAAATGTACGTTTCTACCGCCACTTCCGGACGTGTCTAGACAGGCCGGAAAAAACGAAGCAACAATGACTTTTTTAGCAAAGTATTCGTATGGAATGTTAATGATTCGGGAATCTTCATTTCGTCACATTCATGTTTTCTTTTCAGATTTGTTATTAACATGAGTGAATGACATCAAACTGAGAATCTTTGCTGAGGGCAAAAACATTATTTTTAAATGAAGAAAAAATGATATGTAAATGTTATTTATTTTGTGCCTCAATACTAGTTACTTTCCTCATAGAAGACATCATGTATTAATCATGTTGCAGATGTTTTATGGAAGCAGTATCTCAGAATGTGGAAATTTGCAGTACACACGATGCAACTTTAAATAATAGCTTGACTGGGTCTATGAACTCTTGACGCCCGTTTACTTCATTCTATGCTCACCTGTGTAGGTTGCAATAGAAAGCTCCATTGATAGGTATTGATCGTTTCGTTTTACTGAATCGCATCCCTCCATGAAAATCTCTGTTATGGTCAAATACACATGACGTTATTTTTGCATTCTTCATATAAAGAATATTTAAAAAAGTTCCTAATACAAATTCCTAAAAGGGAAAATTCGTTGAATTGTATTATATTAAATTAGTTTTTTTTTTTAAAACATGAAAAGAACGGTACATTCTGAGTAAAATTCAAATGGTGTGTCTTAAGTGATATTTTGAGATACATTTATATTACAAATTCATATTAAACAATCAACTTAATGAAGTACATCCTTGTTCATGATTACTGCAGCCTGTAATTAATTACATTGCAGTAAAATTTTTGATAAAATATTTATGTAGTTCTTTTTGTCAAGCTTTAAAATGATGTACCACATTCGTCATTTTGTGTCAAACTATAACTTGTGTAATTGTATCAAACTATATTTTGAAATTGATCAAATGGTACAATATAATACTATTACTATTTCTGAACATGCTTCAATATCATTTATCTTGTAGGTCAAGGACGAACATCAAATCGGTGATACTTCATCGTTTACGTCGTCTTAAACAGCCTAATCAAAGAAAAATATCCGGTTTGACGAGAATCAGCGTTTGTGCCCATAAATGAATGCAGGAGTTGTTAACAGAAAGCATAAAAATTTATCCGGTGACGTCCTCAGCATGTCATACTTAGAGCACGGTTATCTTGATGAAGAGGGGGAGCACCAATCATCATAGTCCAGCGACAGTGTTTCCTTCGTTTCTGGAACTGTTTCTGTATGCGAAGTACATCACGTCCGGTCCCGGGCGCATCCTGCCTTTCACTAAAGGTACCTGCTCCCCCACCCGGGCGCCGATTCCAAAGGAAACCCTCGGCACCAGGTGAATCTTCGCCACAAATCGGGCATCGTCATTAGCATCGTCGTGGCTGTTCCTCGGTCATTGTCACGATGCCTCTGAACGATTTTCATTTCCATTCAATCGTTAGGAGACGTCGATTGTCAGCCATCATTGGCGACCGGCTATTTCAGACGATTTTGCGATGTTTCACTATTATGTTGCTCGCGTGCATTGAATGATAATGGAGCCGCCATTCTACGGGTCGGTAATGATACCGTGACGACAATGGGCCAAAAACCGTATATAAATAATTACCATCGTCTTCTGGATAACAATGTGAAGTTTTCGTCGCAATTATTTATTTGAATAATTTTATACAGTTATTTTATTTATATGTTCAATGTACAGATGTATTCTTTATACCGAGATGTAGTAAGGTGATTTCCAGCCTCGCATGTTTGGCAAGCAACGACGTGTATCAGCATTATAATTCATTATTCAGGATAATTTCCTGGCTACATTTAACAACACGCTTATTGTGAAAGTTCATTGGTTCATAATATGCAAATGGAACAAAGTCGTAAAACAAACAATTGAGGCTAAGTACCTTCAAAATTACCTGCAAACGATGCAGACGTACTCAACCTTCTTTAGAGAACCCATTTTCCCATGCATTTCGCTTAAAACCAGTCGGGAAGTTTCTCTCGAATTATCTAACTTCTCTTTTCTTTTGTTTCAGCAAAAACGTGGAAAAATTTGATCGACTATTTGTACTTTGAGGACTAAGACAATTCGACGATTGCGCTGACAGTAAAGCTAGTATTAAATTGAATATGTACATTTCAATGTATACGTCTGTTTATTAAGAAAAAGTAGGGGAAGAAATGTCACAATATTCTGCCTTAAAATATAGAAAAAACCTGAAAGGGATAAGACTTGGGAAGAGGAGTCCTTCATATTCCCTTATATGCCTCAAGGAGAAATATAAGTACAGCCCAAAGATGCAAACTTCAATATTATCAAGGTTCCAAAATTCCCAAACCCTGCATTCTCAAGATTCTAAAATCTTAAAATTCCAAAATTCAAATGTCTTGAAGTGTAGAGACAGTCTAAGGGGAATTTGTAATAGACTTAGAAAAAGGTAGAATTTGTGTCAAACCTAGGGAGCACTAGAAAAAGCCTAGGTAGATCCAGGGAGAACTTGAATGTTTTACGGCTCTGAAAGTATATACTCATAAAAAGTACCCATTCATATTGAAACCTATTTGAAACATATTTGGACCTCTTTATTGACACTTTCACCAAACAATTCCATTTTCACGCACTCAATTCAATAGACATCGTTAGCGTGACTACATACGTGGTCAAGCACGTATCGCATAACCCGAAGAGATGGCCTGAATGCCTTTTTTTGTCGTGTACCGTTACTTTAGAATAACTTCGGTTCTGTGATCATGGTTACCGCGCTTATTTTACTTTGTCCCCATCGTTCACCTGTTCGATCGTGCTCTATCGGCGACGAACTTTTCAACTAGAATAAGAACGGTACAAGTTTCTCCCGCGTAAACGCGACCTGTTCAGTTCTAGTTGCTCGCTCTTCGGGTTCGGTCGAGACTGTTTCAACGAATCCAACGGAGAATTAATTCATCGACGCCTTCAAAAGGATTCGCCGGAAGTGAATAACGCTACGGAAGTGCAAGATGAGAATTACGCTCGCTCTGATGGCAGTTCTCCTTACTTGTTTCGCGGTGAGTATCGACTGAGTAAACGTTTATAAACACATAGGTTGCAATAGCAAACTGAAATATTATAATCGACAGATTCAAGTTGAGAGCCGGGCAAAGAAAACCACGCAATTATCTCTGCAAAGCAAAGAGACGAACGTGGTGAATTTTATGAGAATACTTATGATGAGGCTTGTTTTCGGGGTTGCAACGGCGATGGGTCTCGGCGAAAATCTTTCCGGCGTACTTGGGGGAATTTTTGTACCGCCCGGAGCTGATGATTACAGTGATTACGCCGACGACGATCTCGTACCTGATTTATTTTAATGATCCTGCGCAATAGAGCTTAATATTGTCTGTTATCTTTTGATTTAAGTTACTTCAATGAAGTATTAAGTTTGCGACACGTTTAAAATGCATTGTTTTCCCGCCAAGTTACGACTGACGAGGAATATCAATGAGCGTAATCCATTTGAATCGTGCATTTGCATTCATCATTGTTGCGCCCTAAAATTGATTCACGACGATGTCTTTACTAAACACTTTCGAATACCGTTATTTGTCATAATTTTCGAAACTGTATACATGGAAAGTACATTGAAAACTGACTCTATATCGACGTTTTGTATCATTAATCAATAATTTTGAGATACATAATTTATTAGAATCTTTTTGTGCTTTTCTTATCAATATCTATTATATTATTATTTGTAAATAATACTGTACTAATTTATTTATTTATTTATTTATTTATTTATAAATTGATACGTGTAAACAAGATGAAACCTTGTTACGTCGAAAAGCATTTTATAATCTGCTTAGTGAAAAATAAATATTGCTTTTTGTACGTATTAAGGTTTCAATGTAATAAAATATTATGCTTAAATCATTTTTGTTGTTTATTCATTTGAGTGTAAAAATTTTAAAGAACACTTTAAAAGTTATTTGCAAAATTTGACAATTTATAAATCTAAAATCATGAAAGTTAGAAAAAATTGTTTCGTAAATGTTTCGTGTTCTAATTCAATTACGCATGCGCACTCGCTCATTCATCAGCTTTGCGCGCGATATTTTTAAAACCTCTATAAAGGGAAATGGAAATATAAATCTTCAAAGTATTGTAGCTTCGACAAAATATAGATTTTAGAAATAAAAAATTTAAGTAAGCGGATAATGTATAAATATATTTAACCTACACAGTAATATGATAATGGGACCTACAATGTATATGTAAATTTTACGCGATACTCACTATGAAGAACGTTTTATTTATTGAGCGAGCGAACGAAGCTCTTATACTTGACTTTGCAACTCCTTTGTCCGCGTTTTTCTTTTGCACTACTCAACCAATTCTCATCAAATTCTGCACGTACATGCGTATGACCATCCAGATGGACATAGAAAAAAAATTTTTAATCGGACTTGCCACGGACGAATAATCACGGAAAACACTGATCCTAAAAAATGGAGGTCCGAATACGCATATAAGGAAAATAAAAAAATGAATATTTCGGCACTTTGACGA